GCTGACAAAGCTGGACATCCGCAATGCATTCCGGCTAATCCCTGTGCACCCGTCCGATTGGTCTCTACTTGGTATTCAGTGGCAAGGGCAATATTACTTTGACCGAGTGTTGCCGTTCGGCCTACGCTCCAGCCCGTTTCTATTCGACCAGGTTGCCAGTGCCATTGAGTGGATCATTACTACTAACTTTGCCATCCCTCACCTCCTTCACTATCTAGACGATTTTCTTAATATCAGCCCTCCTCAGCGAAGCCTTGCTATCCAGGCAAAGGACGTCATCCTGCAAGCATTCGAATACCTATCAATCCCACTAGCCGAAGAAAAGCTCGAGGGCCCGTCCACATCCCTGGTCTTCCTCGGAATTGTGCTGGACACGGTGCGCATGGAAGCCCGTCTCCCAGACGACAAACTGGCGGACCTCCGCGAGCTCCTCAGCGAGATGTCACGCTGCACCCAGACCACGCAACGCAAACTCGATCACTTCCTGGGGAAACTCTCCTTTGCGTCGAGCGTCGTCGTACCAGGCAGAACATTTACACGGCGCTTATGGGATATCAACAAGAGGTTTAGCCGCGCCAAGCCCTATTTCCGTATCACTCTGACGGGCGAGGCCAGGAAAGACATCCGCTGGTGGCAGCTTCTGATCCAGCACTGGAACGGGAAGGCATTCCTCCTCTATAACAGCAGTACATCGTCGGCCGACCTTGGACTGTACACAGACGCTAGCGGCACTCTCGGCTGGGGCGCATTCTACGGCAAGGAGCAGCGCTGGATCCAGGGCAGATGGACAAAGGAGCAAGAAGAAGAGAGCATCGGATACAAAGAGCTCTATGCCGTGGCGATGGCTTGCAGTACTTGGGGCCATCTGTGGTCCCGGCAACGTATCGTAATGCATTGCGACAATCAGTCCGTTGTCGAATGCGTGAAGTCAACCTCCAGCAAGTCACCAGGCATGATGTCACTGCTGCGTGCATTGTTCTTCGTTTGTGCAACTCACAGCTTCACCATTACTGCCAAATATGTACCTGGCCATCTGAATTCGATCGCCGATGCTCTGTCTCGTTTCAACCTGCAGGCATTCCAGCAGCTGGCACCATCGGCACGGCAAGCCCCGGACACTGCAATCCACCTCCCCCTCCTGGACTGATGCGGGAGGTCGCCGACCTGGCAGCCATGGCAATCGCCCCGACAACGCGGCGCACGTACACCACTGGCGAAAGGAAGTTTACGCAATTCTGTGCGTTGCAGAGATGGACGCCCATGCCGGCTACAGACACGATGCTCAGCTGCTTCGCAGCACACCTCACGCAATCGGTTCAACCACAGACAATTCACGTCTACATGGCCGCAGTACGCAACATGCATCTCGAAGCCGGATTCCGAGATCCAACGATGAACGCGTTGCTGCTGCCACGTGTTATGCGAGGCATCAAGAGGACGGTGACTGACTCAGCAACCCAGCGCACTCGCCTCCCAATCACCATTGATTTGCTGCGGAAGCTCCTCAACCAACTCAGCCTGGACCAACGGCGTCACCAGCAGGACAAGTGCATGCTCAAGGCGGCAATGGTGCTCGCCTTTTTCGGATTTCTCCGATGCGCGGAATTCACTGCGCCTCCGGCCGGGTTTGACCCGGCCACTCATGCCACGCGCCAGGATGTGACTCTGGACGTCACTCAAGGACGCACATATATCCGCTTCCACATCAAGCAATCGAAGACGGACCAATTCCGTCAGGGACATGCAGTGATAATCGGTAGTACCACTTCACAACCTTGCCCGGTTGCTGCCCTCCTGGCATATTTTACAGTCTGTCCGTCTGACGCCGCTGACGCACTCTTCCGCTACCGCTCTGGGAGACCGCTGACCAGGCAGGCGCTGACAGAAGAGCTCCGACAGCTTCTCCCACTCACGGGAACACCCAATTCGCGCGATTACGCCGGTCATTCGTTCCGCATCGGTGCCGCCACAACGGCAGCCATGGCGGGTACCCCTGACTGGCTAATCAGGGCAATGGGCCGATGGAGGAGCGACAGCGTCTTGCGCTACATCAGGACCACCGACACAGACATGGCGCAGCTGACCCAAAAGCTGTCAGAGGTACAAGCGCATCACAGAACGCATTGAGGTATGTAAGAACCCGCCACGCGGGCACACAACTCACACCCATGCATGTACCCACACGGCTGACTGTTTGGAACAGCACAGCAACTTGCTCTGCTAGGATTGTGCTGACAAAATGCGCTGATAGCAACAACAGTGTCATTCACGTGCATTGCAATATGTCACAACTTAGCATGGAGGCTGGGCAACCATGGGCCAGCTATCTCCTCTCATCTGGCAATTATCACGGCCTTCGGCCATCACACTCATACTCCCACACTCCTGCCTCCTAACGGGCATTGCACTTCGTGCGTGGGCCGTCCACACTCCGTCCATTTCATGGGCGCCCATCTCATGGGCTGCACTTTGTGCGTGGACATACATACACACTATCATACAGGCTGTCCACACTCCGCCCAGTTCATGGGTGCCCATTTCATGGGCTGCACCTCGTGCGTGGACTATCCTACATGATTATCACATGCCAGATTCGGTTGCCCAGCACTCCATGAATCCTCCATATGATGTGTGCTCTCCATTGGTCTGCAATAGCGAGTGCATGCGTGTTAATAGCACATTAGAGCTTGCGGTAATGTAGGTTAACACATTGCACAAGCCACCACTTCGCACGCGCTCCAGCGGCTTCCAAAGAGCCCGCAGATCCCACGCTATTCATTGATGCATGTCAAGTAACACGCACATGCACGCTGCGGTGGCATGTAACATGCGTACGCCGGAACTCACCTGAACTCGCCAGCCAACCAGCCATATGCGGCTGCAGCACACATCGGAGCTTGAACCCGTAACGCATACACCATACTTCGCGCTGGCCACATTGCTACTTCATATTTGCTTTGCTTGCGCCGTGAGAAGAACACCGGTTTGTTCCTTTCTCACCCACCCACCTCTTCCCATCTATGAATAATATTGATATCCTTGACTCAACACAGGTATCATAATTCATACAAGACGAAAATAAATAGGAGTGCTGGGCCAGCTATCTCCTCTCATCTGGCAATTATCACGGCCTTCGGCCATCACACTCATACTCCCACACTCCTGCCTCCTAACGGGCATTGCACTTCGTGCGTGGGCCGTCCACACTCCGTCCATTTCATGGGCGCCCATCTCATGGGCTGCACTTTGTGCGTGGACATACATACACACTATCATACAGGCTGTCCACACTCCGCCCAGTTCATGGGTGCCCATTTCATGGGCTGCACCTCGTGCGTGGACTATCCTACATGATTATCACATGCCAGATTCGGTTGCCCAGCACTCCATGAATCCTCCATATGATGTGTGCTCTCCATTGGTCTGCAATAGCGAGTGCATGCGTGTTAAAGAGAGTTAACGAATGCGCGGTCAGGGTGCCTGGCCAGGGCCGACTCAAGCCGATCCAAGTGAACGGGCGTCCAGGGCGATTGTTGGTGCAACGGAACGCCTGTTGGCCGGTTGCCCTGTGCGACAATCTCGTGCGCTGTGTCCGGAGACATTGCAGGTGGTGCATTAATGAACGAACGGACAGGGGTTTCAGCGACACAAGCCCCGGTTGTAGAGGTGACACTGCTCGGTGGACAAGCGGGCGGCGCCGGAGGCTGCCGCGGAGCTGGGCCGAAAGGGCCGCACGGCACGGGCATCAAGCACGGTAGTGTACAGTGTTTGTGGTGTTGCGTCCCAACGGCGTGACGGCTGGGACGCGATGCTGTGGCGGAAGGTGCAGCCATACTCCGCAACTGCGGAAAACGTGAATTTCTTGCTGGCATTCAGAATATGGTGCTGATACGCCAACAGTTCTACTGCTCTGCCCGGATGCGCATCTAGATAGATGGCTGCGAATATCGTCCATGCTTCTAGCCAATGTTCGATGTCCGAAATACGTCGGGACATGCGTGGCTGGGAGGACAGCGTGAATTTTCTGGGTGCCTCCTCGCCCAACACTAGAGCATGGGGCTTGGCACGTCCGTGGCGGTCGGGGGCAACAGTTGTTGTAAATCAATAATTTGGTGTGTGATGATTTTGTCGATCACGCTTTGGGGTGCGCTTCCCCAAATTTGTACAGGCCCGTCATCATGCAGCATGCTGCAGGCAACACTGGACGAATACACAGTGGACGTACCTGGGGCTGAGGTTGCTGTTTGCACTGCATCTTCCAAACAGTCCAGTCGGTCCATAAACGGTTTCAGGGCAGCCGCGATTGCCGCGGACACGGAGGCGACAGGCATAGTAGGTTCGCGGATCTCCCTGTCCTTGACAGTTTGTCGGGCAGCCTCGGCGGGGGTCTCAGAGCGACTTCGGATTGCATCAACCGGGCAAGCAGCTCCGCTTTCTTGCCGGCGGGACTAAGTCCCGTTCCACGAGGCTGGCGCGTAGGTCCCGCACGGTGAGTGTACTGAACGTAGGGGAGGCCGTAGTCTCGAATGGAAAACGTTGGAGGTACAGGAAACCGAAAATCTGGAAAATTTTAAATTTGGCAAAGAGCTAGTGTTGGAGCAAACTGCAAGTGAGAGTGGTAAGCAACAACAGGAACAAAGAACACGAGTGCATGCACATATGGGGTCAGATGTGCTAGTAGGTTCACCTGCCGACAGAGCTAGAGGGGAACACGCTCCCACGTGGCGCGAACCGTGGCGCTGTTGAAACATTAATTTTTGGAAATCTAGACCCCAAATCAGTGTACCATAGTGACCAAAGCGTGTCCAACGCACCCTGTGATGCCAGTCTTCTATATGTGACTTGTTTGTGCTGCACCATGCTGTCAGTCACGCTTGTGGTGGTTTTGTGCTGTGTGTGGGGGGGGGGAGTGTGTGTGTGTGTGTGTGTGTGTGTGTGTGTGTGTGTATGTGCGCGTGTGTGTGCGTGTGTGTGTGTGAACATGTTCTTAATGCGTACAGGTCAGGATGAACCCAATGTTGTGGAGAGAAGCCGAGCACATCATCTAGCCCATTACAACCGCTTCCCCTGGCTGCCGTTCGTATGCGCATTGCTCGTGATCATACTGGTATGAAAGGCGAGTACGTGCCCAGCCGGACTGTGTTCGACAATTATAATAGAATTGACACCCTAGGGTATGTTGAATGCGGCCCAGCAGTGATTGAGCTGCAAACTACTAGCACTTGATATTATGACAACTGGATCCGTGCATGAAAAACAAGTCGCTCAAAAGCTACCAAGCGCTGTGAAATGTGCGCAGAATCCATAATAGTAATGCGCGAGAGTGTGCGCGCAAGCGCGCACGCGCACACACATGCACACACATGCACACACACACACACAAACACACTCACACACACACATGCACAAACACAAACACACACACACACACATACACAAACACACACACATGCACAAACACATGCACATGCACAAACACAT